TTCACTTCATAATCACTTTGTTATAGAAAACAAAAAAAATATTTATAGTTGAGCCTCACTCTGGTGGCACTTTAAACTTGGAAGATGGAATTAATCCTTCCACACTTTTATATCTCTGCAAAAGGTTAAAAAATTGGAGTTGTAAAAATTAGAACAATTGAAAGAATAGTCTAACATGACTGTCATGATCTTTTAAAAAATTGTTTTCTGAAATTATGTCATCAAAACCACACAAAAAAATTAAGTTACACTGTTGGAAAAATGAAGACGAATAAGAAGAAAAACTAAATAGACTAATAGACCAATAAACGATATATTTATTTCTATCTACACGTTAACTTGCGCAAGTTTCTCAATAAAACATTTTCTTTTAAAAATATATCTCTGAATTTGAGACATGAATCAGGTTGACTTCATGTAAACGTAGGAATATATCCTTAAAGGGATGATCTATCACCATAAACTTTGGAACCAACAAAATTGAAAATGTATTTTGAGTTAACTTTTTGTGGATTTTGCCTTATAACGTTGCTTAGATCTCTCAGTTGCAGTTCTTCTACATACATTTGAATGATATGTCTGCAAAATCATAAAAAAAAAAATTTATTGAATAAAAATATTGAATATTTTAGAAGAAATCAATAAAAGAAGAATCACATAATTGAAAATGATGAAAAATAGAACTCATCTTTAAAGCAAAGAAATTAACTCTCATTCTTTATACATGAAAAAACACATATGTTACGATTTAGTAATAAAAATCTTGTATTAGAGTTTAAAACAAAAAAGATGAAAATTAGGACTAACCTTTGAATCTTAGACAGTAAACCTCCATCATTTTCCTAAATATCTTTGTTTGCTCTCACAATTAGATTCTTCGACACGCAAATGAAAAAAATAGAGTTAGGAAACAAATAGTGTTAGGATATTATGCAAAATTATATATACATAATTCATAAGTAAATGAGAAAGAAAACACACACAAAAAATGAGAATTTTTTTATCAAGATAGCAAACTTTAAAATTATCTTAACCAAGTCATAAACGGCATCGAAAAATTTCACCAGACTCCTTTCGCAAAAGAATCATCTCACACTTTGGTACAAACTTCACACCTGAAAGTTTTAAAATCAAACAATTAAATTACATAAATTTTACAAGAAAAATATCATTGGGACATTCTATCAAACAGTTGGTAAGCATAAAATAAATATTGGTAAGAAAAAGAGAGGAAGTCATACCAGCAATGTAGTTAACAATTATATTCAGAAATTAGATTATCATATGGGTGAGCGTGGAATATCATCGTACCAAATAAGCATAATAGAATAATCAATAGCTATTTATTAAATCAGAATAAACAAATACAATTTGTAACAATATGCTTACGGTTTCTTAAGCTCCTCCTTAGGAATCTCTTTATCAAAGTTCTCCTTCTAAACTTGTGTTCCTTAAACTTCTCTAACCATGTCAACATTGAACTCTACATAAACATAAACACATAGTTATCAGACTATTAAAGTAAAATTTAACAAAAACAATAAATCAAAGAAAATGAGTTTAATATAAAAAATTAAAAAGAGCACAAACTGAAAAAAACAAAGATAAACAGCAAAGAAATGGTGTCGTATGCTGTAAATGAATTTATTTATAGTGCTTGTAGTCGGCTACTTAGGTTAGTTAGTTTAGATACAAAATAATTAGAATATCTTATTCAAGTTTAAATTATCTTATTTTTTTAGGTTTGGAAAATAGGTAGTCCGACATTTATGATCAAATTGTTGAGGATATTCCGGAGTTTATGAATGTGATTGGTTTTGTAGGAAAAATTCTTAATTTGTATTCTTAAATATATTTTTAAGTTATTATATTTGTTAAGAAGATATTGACATCTAACAACTATATGATATTTGTTTGTTTTTGGGAAAAAAATAGATTTTTATACTCGATGAAAATCTTTATAATTGGTAAAACATTAACAGAGATTTTTTTTAATTTTCAAAATGTCATCTATATACGCAAATTAAATACTATTAATTGTGGTCTAATTAAATAATTTCTGAAACAATTGTTATCTGAGTTAATGCTTTCTATCTTTGAAATATTCATGAATGAAATACCTTCCAAAAATAAATCTCATTTATTTATGTCATTAAATACTTTCCGAAATATTATTTTGATTAAAGTTACCGAGTCAAAAATATTGAACTCATGTCAATTTAAATATATAGTTATGGATATAAAGGATTTCAAATTCACCGAGTATATCTCCTACAATCGAAGAAAAACAAATCTCATACAAATCAATAAAGTCAACCACTAAATATTATTCTCAAACCAATAAATCTTCTATATTAAAGGCAATTGATTTAAATGAAATAAAATCTTATGTCTCTCACAAAATCTTCTGCTAAATATTTTATAAACGATTACATTTTTTTTTAATCAGAAATTTCCAAAAATACAAAACGGGTTAAGATTTAGGATCCGTGTCTTTTTAAACGGGTCATTTTAAAAGGACGCGGATCCTCTTTGGTTTTGCTCTATTTTTGTCGTAAATACATTTTTTCCAATAGCATTCATTGTAATATACTACGTAACACTGATGTCAAATTCTAAATGTACTTATCATTTAATATTATAAGATGATTTTATGGTATAATCAAACACTATGATCTTAATTGGATTCACATTGTTTTTTTTTTTCTTTTCAATTCATTTAATATTCTTCTTTTTGCTGATTATCAGTGTGTTAGTTGAAAAGTGTATAAAGTAAAGTTAGGGAAGATAAGCTAATGTGAAGTTCTTTTTTTAGATGTTGATAATACTCTCTTTTTTTAAAAAAATATGAAGTTCTTTATAAATAGTTGTAGGCTCTTTGATTTAGCTTGATAACAAACTCAAATTATTATTAACGCCTTTATAAAGGATGATCTTATTATATCGATTGATATATACAGTAATTTATACCTATATATATATCTGTCTGATATCATTTCTTTTCATAATGGCTAGGAGGAACCAAAAGTTAAGTACAATGACTTCATGAACAAAGAACTTAACTTGATCTCGATAGCAGATCTTTCAAGATCAATCCCCTCAGCAGTGGATGGACTCAAACCGAGTCAGAGAAAAATACTTTTCTGTACATTCAAGAGAAACTTCAATGAGCAAGCCAGGATTGCCCAATTCACTGGTTATGTACCACAAGGCTCAGCTTATCATCACGGCAAGTGGAGTCTTTCTAGTAACATCATCTGAATGGCGCAGGATTTTTTCAGCAACAACAATATCAACCTCTTTCAACCAATAGGTCAATTCGGTACAGGAATTTGTTATTTTTGCAAGTATAGCTGATATATAGAGCAACTCTTCTCATTTTTATCTTTTTGCGCGAACTCATCATGATTGTGGTTCATAGGGTGGAAAAGATATAGCTGATATACAGAGCAATATCTGGATGTCTTTCAGTGTCAGCTAGATTACGCACTTGGAGAGTACAATGCGATACACAATGTGCACGGTGTGGAGCGGAGAATGAAACCATAAATCATGTTCTTTTTGAATGCCCCTGTTTTATAAACTTGGGCATTATCTAAGATACCAACTCCATTTGGTGTTTTTCCAATGACTTCGGTTTATTTAAATTTTGATCATCTTTTCTGGAGACTTCATAAAGCAATGAAAAATACTCAATCCCATGGATAACATGATATATCTGGAAGGCGCAAAATAAGAAAGTGTATTCGAATATAGATGTAGACCCACAAATTACATTAAAGATAGCAGAAACTGAGGTGATACTATGGGAAGAGGCTCAAGGGTCTGAACAAGTTTCAACTCACATAACTTCGGATATTTCTGCGGTCTACTCAATACCTCTAAGATATGAAGGTTGGTAGTGTTATATTGATGGCTCTTGAAAAAATACAGATTTATTCACAGGATCAGGATGGTACTATTTTCAAGAAGGTACTATAGACCAAATTATGGGAGCACAAAATATAAGACGTAGTCTTTCGCCTCTGCACGCGGAGATGGAAGCCCTCATATGGGCTATGCATTGTATGCTTGAGAATCAGAAAACGGCAGTAGCATTTACAACGGACTATTCGGAATTGGTGAAAATGGTGTCTACACCCGAAGAATGATCAGCTTTTGCATTAGATTTGGAAGAGTTTGTGAAGATGAATGACAAGTTCATTTTTTTTCTCTATATCACAGATTCTACGCGCAAAGAACTTAAAGGCAAACAAATTAGCAATAAACACTCATGTCTACCCTCAAGATATTATTTATGTAAATTCGATACCATCGGTTTGGTTAATCGAATTGTTCTAAATATTTAGGCTGTCGAAAAAAAAAAAGAGTTTGAGCAGTTTGTTTAACTCCATTGAAAGGATCTAAATTTATACATATGATTATCATTCAAATAGTATTTTGGCTTGTAATTTAAGGTTACAATTGAGAATTCGAGATAGGTGTACACTTGTAACGAGGCATGGTTAACTTAGAAGGATGACTAAATGTCGGAAGAAATCTGAATTCTCTACTATTATTATATCATCGTATTATTGTAGTATAAAAATGTAGAATTAGCTAAATATGTAAAGTAAACAAAAACAATATAACTTTTTGTAAAAACATGTAAAGTCGGTTTTGTAGTAAGAGTAGATGCGCCGATAATTCTTAAACATTTTTTCTTTAACATTAGAAGAAGGGGAAAATGGATTGAATGTAATTCAAAGGATCAATAAATGGTAAGGATGATCACCATTCAAGTAGTATATTTTATTTTATTATTTAAAGTTTTAAAATTTAGATTAGTAGAAACTTGTAATGTAGCATGGTTAAGTTAAAAGATTGACTCAATATTGAAAGAAATATGACTTCTCTATTGTGATAATAGTATCGTATTGTTTGGAATATAACCACTTAGTATAAGCTAAAATGTTAAAAGTATAAGAAACAACATCATAATAATATTGGTAATTTAAACTCTATTTTGGAGTAGGAGGAGTTGCGCTGATAATTCTTGAACATTGTTCCTTTAACATTGGAGGAGGAAAAAACGGATTGAATGGGATTTTTGGCAGGCAATTGGCTTCGGCTTCCAAAAATGCTTTGCAACAAGCAGGACCTATGTGGCCGAACTGTCCAGTAAATATAGATTGAGAAATCTCTGCAATACATCCAGGAATATTTATCACTGATGACCAGCATTTTGTTATGTCAGGTAATCCTGGTATACCAGGACTTGGTTGGAATGGAAATGGAATCGGAAACTGTGGTAGTTGAGCATTTGCCGAGACTACAATGCATATGACCGCCAGAAGGAAAGAAACATTCTTAATAGCCATGATGAAATAGAAAAGGAAAAAGAAAAAGATCCCTTGAAATATGAGTCTTTATTGAGTTTGTTCTTGATTGATGAACAATTGTAAAATCGTTGTTTACTTATATCGAAAGAAATGAAGTTACCATATCAATTACCTTCAAGAAACGTCTTCGGATTTATATTGTGAATTTAATGAGCCGTTTTAAATATTGAAACACAGTGGAAACGGCCTCCACAAGAGAATGAAACGAACGACATTTATAAAATATAACTGGTGATCCTTAACCAAACGACCGATCAGGTCAGCTTTATATTTTCCTTCGGTTTTGATTTGCTTCCGTTTGATTTTGTTCAGTTTCATCTCTTGTGTAAGCCAAACCGCTCTCTTTTCAATCCGGAGACAATATCTCTATAGGTTGGGATGATAAGTGAAATGTTGGAGCATTTTCCTCTGCTGAGCCTTCAGTTGGCAATCTGTTCAATAGTTTTCCATAGCGTATGATTCGTCGTCACTTTGGTTTTTCACTGGTTCAGTTTAGATTAATGGCAATATTTTGTTTTGTACTATATGTACTATTTGAAAATGCATGACTTTATCCAAATTAAACATTGTAATGATTCTTGTTCCAATGACAAATTTAGTGTTTAAATAAATACGGTATTAAAAATTGCATTAATTTGAAATATCATATAATTTGAATTTTTTTATAATAAAACATCAATTATTGTGACAACACGAAGACTATTTTTCTTATAGTAAAAATAATAATTATTATAATCATCTACATTCTACAACAACACGAAGACTATTGTGACAACAAGAATCACAGCTCGAATGCAGATGTGTATCCCCTTCTTCTTGTTTCTCATGGATCAAAACCTCGAGCGAGCGATTATCATTTTTCGATGTATCATCACAATAACCATCGTTACCTATTGTGACCACATGATCACCATGACATTTGGTAGGCCGGCCACAAATGCTTTTTGCTTTTGGTTTCGCGGCCAAAACAGGCGGCTCAATTTTATTCTTAAACCTTGCAGCTGATGCTAGTTCATGTAGAGATTCCAAGATTTTTTCGGTTAGATTAATAATATCGATGAGCAAGGAGATTGCCGTAAGAAGTGAGATTAATTCTAGTGGTTCAACTTCTTTCAAGATGCCTGAATTAAGTAAGCTGGAGAGGGACTTGCAGGCAGATTGTGCGTTTTGGACATGAAGATCAGAAGAAGATGGTTTGGTCATTTTCTTGAACGAAATGGACATTTCTTTCATCGCTTTGCCTGACTCCGAACTCATTCTTCTCAACGGTTCTTCTAATTTCTTTTTTATATCACTTGACACCTGAAAATTTTTAAACAAAAAGGGATAAATAAGAGGATTGACAGAGTAATCAGTATATATAAAATGGTGTTTTTGCATGGGATTATGAGAAGTATATTGAATATGCAAAATTAAGAAATATAAGCTGAGAAATCAGGGTATAATGTAGCATGGTGGGCAATCTGATCGACGGCTTAGTTTTTCTGGTCTTTTCTGTTTTATCATTTTTGTAAACTAAAACTCAAACCAAATTAAACCATTTGGTCGGCTTTGGTGTTGATTCGATTAAGTTTCGGTTTAGCTTGGTTTTTGGTTTAGATTTTGTCGATTTTAGTTTAATATATAACTTTCAAATGGAATAAAATAGTGATCTAGTTTAATTTATATTTTTATCATACAATTTATAAATGTCAATAATTTTGCTTATTTGGTTTGTTTTGGTTTAGGTGTATTGCCACGCCAATGTTCAGAAAGGTCTAAGGCAATTTTAGAAAACGTGACCCTTGTTTTTATTTCCAAGCATACAAATTAGTGATAACGATTACAAAACACAATTTTGATATTATTCACTAAAATTCACATATTCGAATTCTCTAGCTAATTCACTCTCTATAAGTATGAGTGTGAAACCATGCAATCCCTCTTATGACAATAATTTATTTTATTATCATGAACATCTCAAACAAAAAAACTAAACATGTAATATAAAAATTAAATGTATAAACCTAATTTTGAAATAATTTTGGCTCTTCAATTTCTCATTTTCGTGTAGCTAAGTTCATTGCCTTTTTTCCAGTTACGGCTCTGGGTATATTCGAAAATCAGTTTCAATTTTCAGGTCCCTAATCAATGGAACCGTTCTGTTTATAGACAAAACTCGATTTGGCTTCGGTCTAAGCAATTTGGTTAGGATTTCTTGGTTACATTTTCTTGAACTCTTCATATTTTTTTTTTGTCAACTAACTCTACATTTCTTAAAGCCAAAACAACTTTTTGGATTTTGATTTAAGGAAGATGTAGTGAAAAACAATACCTTAAAATCTCCATTAAGATATGAATTAAGGGCATCAATTCGGTAAGCACATTGTCGGATTATACCACCGGTTGCTAGATATTGTTTCCAAGGATGCCGGAATCTGAATTGACCGTGACCAGGTTCCCATTTCGCAAAATTAGCCTATTTAAGAAAACGACAAACATAATGATGAATCTTGTTACAAATTGAGAGATAGTGTTAAAAAATAAAACAAGAAGAGATTATTCACCACTCACCAAAGATTCCTCATAGCTTTTTGAGTTGAGAACACTTTTATAGTTGCCAAAATCATTTTTTCGTTTGTCAACCTCTTTGATGTCACCATCTTCTACCGTTTCACAATACTTGTCCCCAAAATCTGCCAATCTCCAACTTTATATTTTCTTTTTTTTATATATAATGTAAATATGTATTTTCTTGTCGTCTGCAACTCACAAACATACACTACCGAGTTCAAATCTGGATTATAACATCACAACGATAATAGAATAAACCACTATATTATATGTCTAATCTTCTGAATGTACTCGTCAACACCAAAAGAAAATGTACTCTTTATGTAACTATTTGTCAAAATTAATATATGTTTAACATGAATCATCCGGTTTTGAACAAATTTTAGTTTTTATATCTAAATAGTTTAACAAGAAAACAGATTTTCCTAACATATCTATTCTTTTTGGTTAACTTCATTCTCTAACATATTCTTATTAGCCACCCACAAACATATTAAAAGCGAGTATGATAACTATTAACATGAAACTTTTTCCCACGAGAAAGACGCGTGACCAAGTGCAAAGGACCTAGCAAAAATATCTAAAGTTCCAAACTAACCTAATAAGTTTAAATCAGAACAAACATAAATAAAGGATATACCTAACAAGAAAAAGGAGAGTTTTTCAACGTTAGATGCAAGGAGAGAATGAAGATCTTGGCCGGCCCAGACAGGACAGACAAATATGGAGATAAGCACGCAACTTAGTCCTCCGATGATCACAGTGGAGATTCTCTTATGGGTCAACACTAGAACCTGCTCCTCTCTAAACCCCGACACTGATATCAACGCAAAGGTGAGTATGAATATCAACAGACTGTAATCGTATCTCGCCTTCACCCGCGGGAAGAACCTCACAAACGTCGACAACGCAGCTAAAGAACCCAACCAAAACAAGAAAACAAAAAACATTAGAGTATTGATTTAGCGGTTCCAAGCGGCACAAATTGATATGAACCACAACCGCCTGCACGTTTGCGGCATGTACTGGGAAAAACCACTCAACATCTAAATCATTTAGGTTGGGATTGTTTTGAATACCAATTTTGTTTTCCGTTTTATGTTAGAGTTATTAATTACATTTTCTTATCTTAACATTAATTTCACAAAATAGCTTTGCAAAATGCATTTGTTTTCATTTAAAATTAACAAATAATTTATGTTGACAATATTAAAATTGTAGTTTTATTGACGGAAAAACAAATTATACTATGTAAACGTGAAGGCAAACAAACAATCGATGTTTTGATATTTATTGTTATACATGTAACAGTGTAACATTTAATTGGTATGTTCATAAATACCTTGTAAAAAGACAAAGATTGCGAGAAGAATAGGTTCTCCAGTTGAACCAGACAAGCTCGCTAGGTGATGAGCTCCGATTCCAAGTGCCCCGGCAAATAGTGTTGCCGCTACTCTGTTAAGTCCTTTCCCTAGTGTGGCACCTACATGTATATATACACCATCTATGATAATTGTAGTAGAAGATGGATAAATTTAGCTGTAACAAGTGATCATGCATATTTTAATCAAAACTTTATATTCCTTGATATGTATTGCATGGCTTGCATGCAATACATAGTAATCACTCAGAAAAAAGATTTGATGTCAATGATGTTGAGGATCATGAATAGTATAATAATATATAATAAGAAAACAGACCAACAGAGAACTCGAAGACGACAACGACGGTCATGACAGCCCACATTGCATTGACACCGAAACTGTCGTAGAGAGGTTGATAATAATAGAAAGAAGAGATTAAGGCAAGAACCAGACCCACTTTGAACGAGTGAACTACTCTCCTTGGGTCTTCTTTTGCCACTCTTCTCCCTTCTCTCACAATCTCTCTCACTTTTTCCATATCTATCACTTTTTGAGAGAGAGAGAGAGAGAGAGAGAGAGAGAGAGAGAGAGAGAGAGAAAAGATGTGTTTGGGTGCGTACGTGTGTGTGAGTTATCAGATGTTATGTATATGACCAAGCGTATTTATAAGGAGAATGAAAGAGATAATATGATGGGCAGCTTATATATTGATAATGAATTATGAATATCAAACAACTTATCGAAAAATTAACATTGGTTGAGTTTTAACTTTTAAATTCTTTCAAGTATATTAATTACTTAAAAAAGAGAGCGGATACGCTTGATGTAAATAGAAACATATCAATTGCTTTTTCCAAATAAATTATATGCCATTTTATCTAATCTCGTCTCATTTTTTCACTAATTAACCAATATTAATCTGCATGATGATAAATTATTAGTAAAATGTATGCTATTTATATCTGATATAAGAAAAAATTACTTTATTCTTCTAAAGTTGAATGTGCGATTGAATACCATATGAATGCATAGTGTTAATTAGTTAGAATCTGTTCCATATTATAAACTGTTATAAAATTCACTCATGCGAATTAAATTCTCAAATTTCATGTATAGATTGAAATAAATTTAGAAATAGGGGTTAATCATGCATACTTTTATGATTCTTGCAAAAATGTAGATGCCAATTGTGTGTTAATAAAGTATCCACGTAACACATGACTGGATTAGGTATAGTTGATAGAGAGTTCTTTTTCTCACGAATTTTTCATCCTTCTAATTAAGGTTTAGGGTTTTCAGTTGCTTCTTCGTTCTTAGGGTTAGCCACACGCTTTCTTTTGGTTTTTGTGTGTTTCTATTTTGAAACTCTATTTTGCATCATGTGTAGGCATAAGAAAACCCTAAAACCCGATGCTCATTATAGTCATAATCCCTATTAGATCCACTATATAATTAATGCAATTTGTTTTGTGATTCAGAATGATCACATAACATTGATCAAAAAATTAAGATAACTTTTATTAATATGTTATAATCATCTAACATTAAACGAATTTTAAATCTCAACATAAAAAGTGTACATCTCCAACAATCTCTTAAAAGTAATTAAATCATCTATTCTCTATGACTCTATATCTTGATCTAAGCATAAAAAGACAAAAATTTCACTTTTTCATAGCATATACTAAATTTATTGTACAAGCATGGATGGACCATTGAAACCAATATCTTAAGGTTAATTAAGGCCTCTAATTAAAAATCACTGCGTTAGCTCAACTTGCAGCCTATACTCTATATACCAAAAATGAGAAAAAGTAAGATCAACCTTTTGAAAAATCGATCGAGGCATCTTGAATATCTTAAACTTGCACTATAGCTTAGTGAAACAAGCCTCATTAACTTTCTTCTTATCAAATTCTATGCTAGACAATAAAAAGAAAAAAATACATGTCGTTGACAGGATGACCACTAAAAATCTAAATACAAGGACACTAATACTTAAACTCCATATTGATTACGACATGAAGTAAAGTAGATGAAATGTCTTTTCGAAAAACAAAAAGGACAAGTAGCCACATTCCAAAATCATACTTACCCAACTTCCTATAAAATCTACTTGTTATGTGATAATGGGAAACAGAAACACAAGTTTTTTTTTTTTTTTTTTGGGGAGGGTTTAAACAGAAACACAAGTTGCGCTAGAACTAAGAAGTGATGACCATATAGCTTGCAATTTTTATCTTATTTCTTATTAAAGCTACCTTTTGTTATATATTATATATATTCATAATTCATGATTATAACATATCTAAAATAATTTTATCTAATTACTTATACGACAACAAAGATTAATTATAAATTCCAACCTTTTTAAGAATATTTACGAATAGTTAGATTAAAAATCAACCAATAGTTCAATTGTTGAAAGACTCATGAAGGGTTCAAATCCTTCTATTATCTTTCAATTAAGGTTAGTCATTGAGATGTCTTAAATGTCGGCAATAATATATGATACTCCATCGATTATGGGGACATTTTTAGGTTTATCAGACAAAATTAAGTTTTGACTAGGGAGATGTCATCAAAGTATGTAAAACAAAAAATATATACATATGGGGTCTGATTGGTAGCATTAAACGGGCAATTGGCAAAAAATGCTACATCAGCAAGGCCGATTGGAGAAATTGTTTAAAACCATGGTTGTAATCAGTGTTTGAAACGGGCAGTTAAAAGATGATTCAGGCGGTTGGAAGTTAATTTTTTGGACGGTTACAAAGTCTAAAAAATGGGCGTTTGGAGTAAACGAGCAGTTGTAACCAGAATTTTTTAATAATAAAATTTGTGGTTTGATATTAATTTTCAATAATAAACTAATAAAAATATTTGTATTTCTATGTGTATATATATGTGTGTGTTGGTTTTTTTGTTGTTTCATTCAATTCAATTCATTCGACAAAACAAAAAAAAAATCAGAAAATAGATATGTTTGAATATTCAAGTCAATCCATAAAAGAATTAAACATTGGTTGTGCATATCTTTTTTTAATCGTCTTATAGATTATGAATTTATAAATTATGAGAACAAGTATATGGATAATGAGACAATGGTTATGCATTTTAGTTTGCAGATATGTTATGGGCAGATCATAGGTGAATGATGCAAATTATTATAAAACAAGAGGAATTATTTGAATTGTTTAAAAATTATTTCATAAATAATAAATTTAATTTTTGTTTACTCAAATTTCATATAATAAAGTTTAAACGATGTTTTACTGTATCATTTTATAAATAGTTATCTAAAAAATATTGTACTAATAATTTTATACATTTACACTATTCAACCGCTGTAATGCTACCAATCAAGCTTAATTTTCAACCGTTTTTTGTTATAAAATCATCTTTTCCAATCGTTATCTATAATCGCCTCTTTTTTAACTGTCTTTGTTACAATTGGTCAAAAAATTTTAACCGGCTTGTTTAAACAGAATTACCAATCAAACTCATAGTGTAAAAGTTCAAGAAATAATTCATTAACAGCTAAATGTCATGCCCTAACTTGATTTCATGATTTGATGATTTTGTACTTCAGTTGAAGGGAGGAAGTGGCGCATTAGGATGACAAGGAAAATGCAAGTGCTGAGTCACCGCACTCACTAAAAAGGAATAATCAAACTCCACTTTGTATATTTTGTCTTCCTCTTTCAGAATCGAGTCTTCATTAGTTTCGCCCTCAAATCAGACACTTTAATTCTTTAATTTCATTTTTTATGTTTATTCTACAAATTTTATACATTATTCACCAAATTTTTTTAACAAAAGAAAGTGAGCTAAAGACATTTTTTTCACATTTTCTTGCAACATAGTACGTATATTTGTTATTCTTAATTTTGCAAAATTTTGTCACAATTCAAATCGAATTCTATCTCTCTTTGTATCGTGTTCTGTGTGACATGAACTGGTTCCAACTTTCTCAGCGTATTCCAAAAAAACAAAACTTGTTGACTGTGATTATAGATTACCTGAAGTTATTATTCCATATCTTGGTTTCTCTCCCATGTCTTAAGAATCCCTTTGTAGTTCTATCTTAATTATTGAATTCTTGTTGTATTTACTATCAAATTAAACTAGCTAACCTAATAAATAAGAGTAATAAATGAATCGCCATTTTAAAAGTTTTAGGGATTACATGCACTTCACAATGTCTTCGTCATGAACAAAGTGAAAAAATATAATCATCCGGACTATTCAAATTCACATCATTCAATACTTTCATGCTAGTTTGACTCTGATACCACACTATACAACGTTGTATTTCAGAGCCGAGAAGCCCCCACCATCACACAAGGTTCGTTGATTTGCCTTAGTCCAGACTCACCACTGATCTACCTCTTCCTCTTCTTTGATCCGTTTCTCCATCAACCAAACGAGAGTAACGTAGGGACTGAACGTGATCTCTTCCTTTTTCCTTTATATTTACCTCGTGACAAGTAGCCATTTGTTAAAACATCTACGTGTTATCAATAACTATAGATACACTTAGTTGCTCGTTTCATGATTAGGCATGTTAGCTTTTGCTATAAATAATATGGTTGAATGATGATATGAATAATGTGTGTGCTGCATGACTCGTGTTGGGTATTCGCATATGCGAGTTATGGTTTGTTATGTGGGCATTAGGTGGTTTATGTCGTGGTAGAAAGACTTTGGGCATGTGTCGGGTCCCTTATCCCAAGAGACTTCTGTGTTATTTTCTGGTTCAAGGTGAGGCACTAGACAAGCCATGACTCAGATTGGCCGACGAGCAAATCAATAGGTGCCAACGAAGATGACCGCTTGCGTTGTTCTTCGAATTTGTTGTGCTGTATGTTTTAGCTTATGATTGTCGTGATGTGAATGATTATGGTAATATAGTTGTTTTTTATGATTTACACTCACTAGGTAATCCAAATTATTCATCTTCTCTTTTACAGGCGCGCGAGTATGACGATGTGCAGAAATAATGGAAGACTTGACAATGTTTTTCGTTTTTTTGTTTACTTTTTTGTTTGTTTATTTCTTGTAATACATTTTATCTTGATATTCGGGGTTTTGTTAAGTTCAAAGTTTGATTTATGTAAACATTTTGGATTCGATCCTTGAAAATGAGAATGACGTTTTGGACTAACAAGCAATTTCTTGCGTAATTAGTCAATATTTTGACATGCCCGTTTGGTTAAGTAAGAAATGAGTGTCAAAATAACTGTAGAACGTTTTTACCGTTCAAATTTCGTATATGATCCCATATCTCTTGGCTAATTCTCTTTTGAGGTTTTATTCCTTGTTCGATAACCGTTTATCATTGAGAAAAATTCAAGACTTGTCACAACTACTGTAACTTTTTTTTTTTTTTGAACCTTCGTCTCAACTAACTTTAAAGATTACTATTATCTCTTTTCTTGATTTTGGTCCTCACTTGGAGAATGTATACTAAAAATTGTCTCATACCAGATCATTCTTTCAATAAGCCTCCTGAGAATAGCTAGATATGCATTGAGATGATGTTCATAGCCAAATCATCTATTTTATTGTTCACATGCACCATATTTCTTGAGATTTAAGTATGATACTTGTAGATCTCAACTTTGAGACGTATATTCTTCGACGGAGGCATAAATCACTATTTTTCTTCACAAAAGTAAATGTGAAGATGTTGTGGTAGATATTAAAAAAAAAAAAAAATTGTGATATATGAATACACCATGCATATATGAGAGTCCGAAAACAATGTGTAGCATTCGATTTCTAAAATTAGATCACAAAATGTAAAGATATAACATATTTTAGTAATTGGTCATGATTCATGTATACATATTGAATCAACAATTTTTTTTTTAATTTAAGTTCGATAGCATACAATGTTTTTGTTATTTTTACAACATTAAAATCTAAATGATGCCAACTTTTTTAATCTCTAATCAGGAAAAATAAAAGTTGCTGTATTCTATCTTTGAATTTGTTACTATTTATTCAGTTCACCCTAAATAGTATACAAATTGGTGGTTAATGTTTACAGCTGAAAAAGATACATAGTATTATGTACATAGTATTAGGCAAATACTACTGATATCATGTATTTTCAAGGTTTTTTCCCTAAAGAACCTACATCTCTAGCCTAGTAACTCTGTTGTTGATAAAGTATTTGGAAGCATATTTTAAAAGTGAGGAAGGAATTTGAAGGGCCCAAGAAAATATAGTGAAAATTTGTGAGATCATAATGTCCTGTCGATTATCCCATCATAATCTGTAGAGTGGAGAGAAGTCTAAAAAGCAAGAGCAAAGTAGTTCATGCACCTTTTGCAGCAAACTTTAGGTACCTCAAAAGGGTAAAAGCAGAAAGCCACCAAAAAAAAATTCTATAATAACTAACACAGTTTTAATTGTAATTGAGCTAAGTAAGACTAAATTTGATCCACATGAACTCAAAGATTTTGATTAATGTAAATTAGGGATGGATTAAGACACCCATCACTAACTAGTGAAACACCGTATATTAGAACAAGTTTTGGTCCACAAATGCGTAAGAACACAAGATTTTTGAAAAATGTAAATTAGGAGTGGATTAAGACATCCATCACAGATTAGTGAAACACCAAATACTTTAATTATATTGTAATTCAAAAACTATTGTAATAACAAAAATCTTGTGTTACGCTTTTGTGGATCACAAAAATATTGTAAACTAGAACAAAAATATTGTAGTAACAAATTAAATTGTATGTGAGTTAGACCAAATTTGATCCACAAAAATGTGCATGAACAAATGAACTTAAAGTATTTGAAAAGAAATGTAAAGTAGGAATGGATTAAGACATCCATCACAAATTAGTGAAACAACATAGTTTAAATTGTATTTGATCCATATATGCGTAAGAACATAGATTTTGAAAAATGTAGATTAGAGTGGATTAAGACATCCATCACAGATTAGTGAAGCAGACAATACTATAATTCTAAGGCTGATAATTAACGAATTTGTAACTACCAATATAGCGTTTTTGTCTGAAGTCTGAACCTCACATTGTGAATAAAGGAGTGAGTTTTATTGAAAGTAGAGCCTCTGTTTTTATTTATTTAATAATAAGCTAATAATGTATATAGAGCTAATCAAAGTAGCATAAAGGTACAAAAATACATGTGAGCTTGTGTACTGTTAAAGCTGTTGATGGACCGGTTCTCTTTACCAGCCTTGAAATTCGTGAAATTGTTTGAACACTTAAACCGGTAAATGAAAAGGTTTAAGACTACTAAAATTTACAGCTAAAAAAGATGATTAACCCGTAACTATATCAGACTTCATAAGTTAAAAGTAGTAAATCCACACAAATGAGATTGAATACATAAATAAAATTCGCAAAAATCCCAAAAGAGAGAAGAAAAAAGGAGCATTTAAATGTACAAACAAAAAAACTTCAAAAAATAAACCATATCTGTTTTACAGACTGACTTTAGTTAGTCATAGCGAGCCTAAAAATCCTGGAGCGGTTCGCTCTTAACCTCTATATGAATCCACCTTAACCATAACCGGTTTAACTCCGGTACGGTCAATTACTTTTTGGTTACATTGAACAGCCACCAGTAACCGGTAAGGTGTTTGTAATTGGCATTGCAGCTTTGATACCATCCAAAGTAGTCTTAGAGTTTCCTCCACATTTCATCGTCTGCTCCAAAATATTCACCAGTTGCATGAATATTTCCATCCTCGTCACATCTCGATTCGCCTATAAATCCATTTCAAACCGAGTTTTAGTGATCTAAAACATCTTTTTCAATCTCTCTTAACCAACTAAACAAACTTGTAATTTACCTCAACAGTGAAGCGAGCCCAAATCTTGTCTGTTCGAGTTTCAATGACGCCTTTCAAGATCGTTAAGCCTAAGCTTCGGATCCAATCAGCGATTTCTAGAAAGAACCCTCGTTGTTCGCATAACATCTGTTCGCAAATACACCATCAAAGACAGCTTGAAAACACTAAATCTTGTTTCAATCTTGCTTGTAGGAGAGAGGCAGTAAAGTTACCTCAACTTGGAAAATGCGAGGCGGGTTAAGATCCTCTACAACAATTGGACAAACCAGAGACTTTGACCCGACTTCGAAAGCCCATGTTGCTCCTCCTCCAAAGGCACCTTCCTCTTTCATTATCTTATAAACAACACAACAAGAAATATCAGAACAAGAAGCTAAGAGAAGACCTGGAAATATGTTTTTTTCGTATTACCTTTGATTCCCCGGTTTGTTTCAGCTTATCAGAATGCTTAGAGACGTTTTGTAAGAAGAGCATGTGCTTGATTGTACGTTCAAGGAGCGCATCTATGCTACACTGTTAAACAAAAAGCACATTTTACTATTGGTTAGTAACAGTCTCTCTAAGGGGATTATTCAAATTGTCGAAAAGCCAAGAATTTGTCGCTTACTTTTGCACCGTTTGGTATGATTTCACGCAACTCCTTGACACGATCTTGGATCATCTGGCGATCTTTAGGCCTTGGTCTTGGATTCTCTCCTGGTTTAAGCCGTTTACGGTTATTAGCCGGTTTTGCAGTTTCATTCTTAATTATCATTCTTGGACTGCCCTCACGCTTCAAGCTGTGTGCTTGTTCAACCCAAGAACTGATCTGAGACCCATAAACCGGTGATGGCCCGACCGGTGTCCCTTGTTTCTTCTCATGTAACTGGCTACCTTGAGGGCTACTGTGAGATGGCGTGGTAACAGAAGAGTTACTAACTTTGGTCATAGTGGTTTTGCAGGACTCAGAAGTATCATCTGAGATCTGCTTTGTGGAGGAGCAAGCACCTGAGACCACAGCATCTAATAGATGATCTGTTCCACCAAAACCAGAATCCATTTCTTGAATGATCCTAAAGTCAGATAACTCCCTTGTGAGCACTTCTGTTCTCATCTGTGAAGAGCCCCAGCTATTATCACAGCTTCTGTTCTTATCATCCAAACCCAACATATCAAACAAGTCGTCGCTTCCAAGGGAGCGTTTGGAACCGGAGTCTTCACATGGGACTTGTTGCTCTACTGCATCCACATTAGACATACAAGAGAAGTTTTGATTCAGCCACGCATCGGGATTTGAAGGTGCTGCTACAAAGCCCGTTGTGTTTTGCCATCCTCCTTGTTGTCTGTCTCCAAGATTTGCCTGTTCATCCACAAGATTACAGGATGCTTCTTCAAACATCTGATCACTTCGATGATCTGATGGTCCAGCGGAGTTGAAATGTGGTTTGCTAGTTTCAGCTACGAAAGCTGAAGATTGGAGAATCTTGTGTGATTGAGTAGGTATCATCCGGGACACAGGCACTCCAATAAAATCAGCCGCAGGTTCATATGTTCTGTAATCTTCAGATAAGAGAGCTCCAGGGACGCATCCCAGTTGCAGGATAAGACCCTTCACGTCATTCACAAAGCCTAAATTCTCCATAATCTGAACACAGGACACAGTTCACAATTCAATCAAGAACAAGAATCTCATCTTACATAACAATGTAACTTGGGAAGAATTCAAGAACTTACAGGCAGTGAGGAACCGAGTTGAACAACACCATGAGGAACAACCGGAAACACTGCAACTGTCTGAAGAACAAACGAATCAAAACCTATGTATATCTACTCAAGAAGCCATAACTTAGGATATTCAAAAATAAAAATCAGACCTGAATGCCAGCAGAGAATTGGAGAAGCATCTCATTTATAACCTCAGGTGGATGAACATCGCGGTTGAAACTGTTCGCTAGAATCCATTGATGATGTCCCGTAAATGCAGCTCGGCCAACTAACCTGAAATCCAGTTCATTAGGATAATCAAATCGTAACACTTCATTAAGAGAAGAAAACAATAGAAGGAGAGAGAGAGACAAAGAGATAACATACCCTTCGCCTACCAAAATGATTCGATTATTCAACATCATTCTGTTTGTAAGCAATTGAACTTTCTCATTCCCTTGTGTATCAATGCCGAGTCCGGAACCTCTTCGAGGAACTGAGCTTGTCGATGCAGTTTCATTGTAGCATTCCTCCCAAATCAACAAGCTGCGCACACAAAAAAAGGGAAAGAAGAAATTAGTGGAAACTGTAGATCCTTGGAACACAAAAGATGCTATAAGACAAAATGATTTAATTACTATTACAAAAGAATTTTGGCTAAACAAAGACAAAACGAACAGGACAAGAAACAAAACAAAAAAAATGAGATGACAAGAGAGTTGAGAACAAAGTCATGAACTTCAACAAACCAAAGAATAGGATATGGTTTTGTCAAGAAACAGCTACAAATCGAAAGATTCTCTTACAAACAAGATCAAACCAAACACAAAACTACAAGAAAACAGGGAAACAGTGATAAATAATTCTACTTGTCCTCGAGATCTGAGTCTGGAGAACCTTTAATCAATATTCCCAAACTTTAAACTAACAAACAAATACCAAAACTGATAAAATTTGACTACTTTAAATTTCATTCAAACTTTGAAAGATCTAGCTTCGATTTTAATCATTAGAGAATGGGATTAGTACCTTGAATTTTGGCAACCGATTTTCCAGAAAACAGCATAAGACCATTGATTATTAACGCACATAGACCGCAACGCTTCTCTTAGCAAAACACCCATAGCTTCTTTCTCTCTTTATCTCAGCTTCAACTAAAGAAAGATCTTCACTTGCAACACTGCAATTTCAAACTGCCCAGAAAACAAAAATCAAAACTTTAACTCTAAAAAACACAACTTTTAACGAATCTTAATAAAAACTCCAGAAAAAAAAACCATTATTACATTCTTTTAAGGAGATTGAAAATGGATGAACAGAGACTAACTTCCACGGCAAGATCCTCTTCCAGCTTGTTTTGTTCTAAGTCCTCCACTCTGCTTCCTTTCAGGATCTAAGCTACTAGCGATCATACTCCGACATGCCATTTTCCGGTAAGAAAGAAAGAAGAAAATAATAACCCAGAAAGGTTAAAAAAAACCGAGAAAAATCGTTCTTCTTCTTCACAATATACTCCAAGCTTGAAGCTTTAGGATTCCAGTAATTCCAGCCATTGATTCAGCTTCAATAATTAGAAGAAAATGAAAAGTATGAGTGAAAAGAAGAAACCCAAAATCAATGAAGCTTATTTCTTTCTTTTTTCTTTGCTGCTGCTTTATTGCTCTTTTTCTCTTCTTCTTCTATGAAAAGAAAAAAAATGAAAAATGGAGCAAAAGGTACAGTCTTATTAAAAACAAAGATGACGATGAATTCGAGAAAAGAGTATAATGTTTTAGTAGAAATTACAAGATTGTGCCACTGAGTGGGGTAGTCGAAGTGTTTTGTCCGTTTCCGATGGTGGTAAGCGAATAATTTTAATTATTATTATTTTTTGTAAGGTAATATCCTAAAATTTAGTTTTTAGAAAAAAACAAAAGAGATAAAGAAAAAAAGTGTACCTCTCGGAGAATTAAAAGACGGTCCAAATAATATATAATAACGGGAAAAACGTTAGAATTTACAGTTGGGTTTGTACTTTGTATAATGGTTGGTTGGTTAGTAAGATTAAAGAACAGAGAAAGAGGATTTTTTAAAAAAAAAACAAAAGAATAAAAAGGGAATTTTCTGTTATTGTTTCTCTTAATACCGTACACAAGACAAATTCATAGCAGTTGAAGGTGTTTAATGTTCACACAAGCTCAAGGTATTTAAATAGTTTTTTTCTAATACAACTCATGCTTTAATTGCAATTATACTATGAGGGTTGTTAGGTATTTGCTCATTAGGTATTTGTGATTCAACTCCCGCCATGTAGACAAAAAATTTAAATAAAATCTTCTCTTTTTGGATCTTGCACTAAAACATTGCATTAGTGGTGCCTCTATCTAGTTGGTTGGCTCATGAAGAACCAAATGTTTAGGATTATAAAAGATTATTAGGATTATAAAAGATTCACTAAATACATGGCAGGATATACCGCAAACACATTTCTAGATTATAACTGATCCGTTGAATCTAGTAAATGATTTTCATTTATAGCGTGTTCTAAAATTGGTAGATATGTCAAACCTATAAATTATTATATTTTTATTTCAAAGGTTTACATGTAATGGACTCATCTAACTATTACATGATTACTTAAAATATCAACTTTATAGAGGTAACCAAAGGGAGTTGAAAGTTAATATGAGAATCACAGCCAATACCAAAGTGGTATATAGGTATTTGATTTTGCTCACACAACACCCAAATACTCATTTTCTCATGGCAAACTATCTACAAGAGATCGTACAAGCATTTGGAACACAAGTCAAAAAGTAAAACTGCGTACTTTGTGGAGATATGAAGTAAATTTGATCACACATATTTTTCTCATGTCACCACACCTCTCAAATTTGAGCTACACTCAATCGTTAGCACTAAGAACCCAATTTTTGACGGATTGAGATATCTAATACAACTCTGCTATTAGTTCAATTCTGGATTAATTCAAGCTAATTTGTTAATAACATATGCACTCCAAGCCAACTTATATCAAATTTGGCTTGATAGAAACGATAGGCATGGGAAAGCCCAGTCTGAAGACTCTGAACCATATTATGTTCTATTGGCTAATCAAGGTGATTAATAAGACAGTCTGAAACATATTATGTTCTATTCATATCATTGGATATCACTTATACAATGAATACTTCTAATTATGGTTTGACACACAGACTGTTTGAACCTGATAGAAGGAGAAATCAAAGTCTCAACATTTGAATTGATATAATCGCTCAAATATTGTTTCATTTATTTCCAAAAGAGAAACATTTATTGTACAACAGTTTTTTTATTATATTTTATTAAAAATTAAATAGAGGTAAGATTTATAAATACATATTCAATATCAACAAACAAACAAAAAATAAGTTATAGACCTTTAAATAATTTTTACACTTTTAGATTCTGTAATGGTGATAATTTTATTCGTCAATGTTTTTTTATTGAAAAAAAAGTTATATACCATCATAGTCAAAGACCAACAATTGCTATATACTGAAAACAAAAATTGAATATGGACATATCCCTATTGAGATTTAAAATGCACTTTTTCCATAATAATAATCTGAAAATAAACACTTAAGTTTTATTAGAAATAAGGAAAAGCCAAAAATTGCTATATACCGAAAACATATTTGAATATGAACATCCCTATTGAGATTTAAGATATGCACTTTTTCATAATAGTAATCTGAAAATAGACACCTAAATTTAATTATAGAAATAGACACTTAAACTTAATTATAGAAATATGGACTTTTTCACCCAAGAAAATAAAAATTCTAAAACAGCTTTATAAATCCAAGAGGATTTCTAAATTATTGGATTGCAAAAATAACCAAGTAGCTTAAAATGTTATAACCTATTTGTATTTACTTGGATGGTGCAAAATATAGGTGGTACGACAGTAAATATTTTGTGGTAGGTTGCTACTTTCGAGGGGAAAAAAATTGAGAGTAATTTGTTATTGAAAAGAAAAGTTGAATGAGATTTGGGAGAAAACACACACAAATTAAGAAGAAGAAGAAGATTGATGTCCAAAAAAAAATAAAAGAGATGTTTATTGCTTAGGTGTCTCGTAAACCGCCGAGAGGGAATTAGTGGTTGTTGCTGTCTTGATGACGTCACCGGTGACAATTTGCCATTCCCTCTGAATATTTCACAGAAGTGGCAGTGCCTTTTTACACTCAGAGAGACACCTAAGACAATATAGAGGTCCAAACTACATTCTCCTGTCAATTAAGTATTTACACATTCAATGAATAATAAAATGTAGAATAAGAATATATTTATACTGTAAAGACCATTTCGAAAAAATAACTATAATGTTATACTGTTTGATATATATATATATATATATATATATATATATATATTTTTATCTCACTCATGTTTTTTTTAAATAATAATATAAAGTTAACCAACTATTGTTATATCAAATATTGTTATATGATTTCAATTGAAAACTAATATAAAAAACTATAATGTTATACTGTTTGATTTTTTTTTTCAATCTAAAAAAATATACGAGTTTTGGTCCAACAATATTAATTACTAAAAATTAAAATAAAAATAAAAAATCCAAAAATAATATAAACTTATAATGGCTATTGACTAAATAGATTATTTAGTATATATAATAAATATCAAACTTGTGAAACTTGATTCGGCAAAATAATACTCCACCTTTTATATGCAAAAATGAAATCAAATGAGTAAGATTTTTACAATAAATTTATGCTAGTTTATCTGATAACAAATAATTTTAACATAGTATCACATTGTTTTCTTTAAATATATGCGATAAAATCCACCACATATTTACCAAAAAAAAAAAACTTATGTCACGATTTGGTCCCTTTTCTTACAAACAGCTAATACCTAATAAAGTTAATTTATTAAGGGTTGAATATTTTTTACAATGAATGGCCAACCAAAGCAGTAATAAGTTATATTTAAGAGGATTCATTCTTTAGCCTATACCAACAAAATGAAACCATTTATCTACGTTGGTTGTTAATTTTATAAATTTTCACATTATTTTCTTTTCTATCTTTTGTATTTGTAGCTTATTCGGTTTTTGTAGCACACAAAGTATAAAATATTTGCTTCTCTTCCCTTTCATCAAGAATGAGCATTCAAATAAAATATATTTGAGATATCCACATTCGTATGTTAAAGAACACAAAATGATTTGTGAAACATGGAATAGAGAAATGATAAATATACCGACATGAATAGCAATTATAGAATGAGGATGTTGGAGAGTAGGAGAGATGAAGAATGACACGTGGGTAGAGTGGTAGGGTAGAGAGGCTAATAGAGTGCGAATAATGAAGAATGATGAGAGACTGAGAGGCTTTGCTTTGTTTCATTTTCAAATTCAATCCTCAATTTATCTTCTTCTTCAATCATATTTGTCTATATTCTATATATGTTTTTGAATTGTTTGTAGTTTGAATGATTGGTTGCGTTTTCTAACACTATCTTATGTTTTTATTGTTCATCGTATGATCTTGGCGTGAAGTTCAAAAAGCACGAAATTTACATTTTTAATTTTGATCTCTACCTCTTGTTTTATTAATTTACTTAGATTTTACCCGTGCATTTGCACGGGAAATTTATCAAATTTTATAATATAATTTTTTTAATAAATGATAAAGATTATTTTTTTTATTTATATATGTAATTTATATTTAAATTTTTCTGTTAGTATTATTATGACCGCGAACATAAAAACATAGTTATAACCCGATCATTCTAATAATCAAAGAAAGACAGTTACTATAAAAACATAATTATAATTCATTCATTTTACTAATCCGAAAGACTGTGGTTATAAAAACATAATTCTTACCAATCTGTTCATATTACTATATAATAACATATTTACTAATTTTGAAATATTTTTAATTTAATATATTGTATGTTTTGATAATTTAACCGGCACAAAACCATAACTATAAAAAAATCTAACATGTCCCATCAAATTACCGTATAATATAAATATTTATCAATTTTCAATATGTAAATTTTTTGACTAATTAATTATGATTAAAAAAACACAATAACATATTTATTAATCATATGTTTATTATAAAAATATTATTTAAATTTCAAATGTTAAATTAATCTAAACTATATTTAAAGAAGTTTAAAGTAATTTAACTTAATATCTAACTTTTTAGACTTAAATTTAATTACAGTTTTTTTAAATATTTTAAATTTTAAATTAAATATAACTTATATTAAGAAAATCTTTAATTATCTAAATTGATATCTAATTTTTGGAATTACTTTTTTATATAGAAGAAAAATATATTTTTTAAAATAATATCGTAATAAAATAGGATAATTTTAAAATAGTTTTCAAATAATTATTTTTAAATAAAACTTTAGGAATGTTGGATGCAAATACTAAAAGTGTTTCTGTTTTAATATAATAGATGAGAAGTTGTAAGTGATAATGTAAGTCAAAATGCCCTACATAATGAAAGAAAATTGTCTTATTGAGTTTACGAAAGTTCCTTATAAATCAAAATGAACAAACTGCATAATAATCGGGTCTATAGTTCAAAACACCTGGGATGTCATTTAAGTCCCAACCTAATTTAACAATAACTAAAATTTGTTTTTTAAAGTTTTTTTTCGTTAAGAAT